CACCGTCCCTCTGCAAAGAGTGGCATGCTATTAAAGCTGAAATAGAATACCAAGAAAGTGTGAATGGAATTCAAATCGCTTGAAACCAATGATGAAACAGCAGTTCTTATTTCAAATATCGCAGCTTTGGCACATAAATTGAGCTGTCGATTGATTGATTAACTGATTGACGGACTGAGTGAATGATTGACTGAGTGACTGATTGATTGACTGACTGACTGACTGACTGATTAACTGATTGACTGACTGACTGATTGACTACTGACTGACTGACTGATTGATTGACTGACTGATTGTCTGATTGATTGACTGACTGACTGACTGATTGATTGACTGACTGATCGACTGACTGACTGACTGACAGACTGACGGACTGACGTTCAGACTGACGGACCGACGGACTGACGGATTGATTGACTGACTGACTGACTGACTAACGGACTGACTAACAGACCGACTAACTAACAGATTAACTGACTGACAGATTGACTGACTGATTGGTTGACTGATTGATTGCTGGATCGATCGATTGATTGATTGATTGATTGATTGATTGATTAATCACCAAACTTAGAAGCAAAGAGTGGCATGCTATTAAAACTGAAATAGAATACCAAGAAAGTGTGAATGGAATGCAAATCGTTTGAAACCAATAATGAAACATAGCAGTTCTCATTTCATATATTGCAACTTTCGTTGTGCTAGATGTCCACAAATAGCAGGCTGCCTGCAGGGATAATCAGTTAGTGGTTTAGGCACATAAATAGAGTTGTTGATTGACTGACTGACTGACTGACTGATTGATTGACTAGCTGATTGACTAGCTGATTGACTGAGTGAGTATGCGAGTGAGTGACTCACTAACTGACTGACAGACTGACTGATTGATTAACTGAATGATTGACTGATTGACTGACTGATTGACTGATTGACTGACAGAGTGAATAACTGACTGACCTTAGTGACTGACTGACTGACTGACTGACGGACCAACGGACTGATTGACTGACGGACTGACTGACTGACAGATTGAATAACTGACTGACTGATTGATTGACGGATTGACCGACTGACTGATTTATTGATGGATGAATGGATCGATCGATTGATTGATGGACTGATTGATTGATTAATTGATTGATTGATTGATTGATTGATTGATTGATTGATTAACTGATCATCACCAACCTTAGAAGTTCGTCTTGACCATTCAGCA